GTTTGCATTAATAGTTTTAGAAAAAATGTGAAACATGAGAACTATTCTGAAAGGCATCACTTTCAGAATAGTTCTCATATATCAGCCATCAAAATAATCATCATTCTTACTGGTATTTAACTATTCTTATACAGGATGTTGCAAGGTAATTTAATAAGATATTTTATTATGAAAGTTTTGACTTATAAATTTTCTATTCAAGTTTGTTGATAAATTTTTCATGCTCTTTATTAAAAGTCAAGGATTGTATCTTCAATATGTTATGTAAAGTTTGAGATACACAAGTTCTTGTAGAGGCATAAAAAGAATTAAGTTATAATAGATAAATTTGCATCACTGAATGAAAAAGAAGACAAATTATAGAATATTCAAACTGAATTCTCAAAATTGAATACATGTTTGAATCAGGCATTTCTAGACAAAACCTTTCAACTTATAATTATAATGTTTTTATAATTACATATTTACATATAAATTTTTAGTTGTCACACTCTTCAAGCATTCAAGTTTCAATTAGGTAAACTAGAAATTAAATACTGTAATTTTCTGAGTGTAGCTTATAGGTTATTCGCATTGTAAAATCAGTTTGAAAGCAGGTGAAGGCTATGTTCTGGCATTATTTCAGGTTATATTTAGGAAATTATGGTAATTATTACATCAATATAAAAGTTGTTCGACATCAGAAAATGTTATTTACAGTTAATATTTCAGAATTAGTTTATGGTCAGTCATTTGTGTAAGTTTCTCGACTTTCAGGGGAAAATCAGTTATTCCTGTGTCAGGAAGGCTAAGGTCATCCACGTCTGGGTGGTGGTGGCAGAGACAGAGATGACAAGTGTGTTACAAAGAAAACCAATTATTGTAATGGAAATATCCTTACATAGGTAATGAGTTGGATTGATGACGGTAACTCATTGACAAATTTGTCCTGGCGCTGATCGGTGAGCCTTCGGACTTGCGAGAGTTTTGGTCAGTCGGTCATAACCCTGGCATGGACGAGAAAGGTTTGTTCATTTTGCTGCAGATTATAAGCGAAGGTGTTTGGCATCCGAAGTGGCTGCTGAGTCACACAACACAGCACAACTTCTTGTGACACACGACCCTTTTTTTAGAGGGATATGGCCCTTTCAACCTTGAGTTTTTGGTTTATATAGTTTTTTTCTTTTTCATCAATATTTCTGATGCCCCACATTCCATTCCTCGCTTCCCAGTTTCTCATTTGTCTCTAAGTGATCCCTGAAACCTGATTGGGTAACGAGAAAGGTCTGTTTTGAGATGTCTGTCTGATACTTCTTTGTGAATTTGACTGGAGATTGTTGATAGAACTATAAGTCGTGCACCCATTAATTTAGCCTGTTGTTTCTATTTTCTGTCATTTTAGGATTTTAATGATTGCACATGATGTTTTTCTAACCATCAAATTTTTCCCCTTCTCCAAATTTTTAACCCAAATTGACTATTTACGAGCACCTGTGTCAGAGTTCTATCTCTTCCATTACATCATTCCTCTTTGCGTTGTGTTTGTTTTGACTACTACAGTTTTTTTCTCCTCTCTCTTACATAACCATCATGACCCCAGATCATACTTGATGATAGCATATTTGCATTTAACACCTTGCAATTAAATTTTAGTTTTGACTCGTTCTGGAACCTTGTACTTGTTACATTACTGCATACTTGGTTATGTTCTTGTAGTTAAGGACAAATTGGGTTTGCTTGCTGAAATATAATTTTAATTTTTATGAAAAACCAAAATCAAAATAGAGCTTTTTCTTTTTTGAAAGAATATCCATTTTTATTTTTTTCAATACTATTTAATGGGTGAAATTTCACATCAGCTTGAATTAAAATGAAATATTCAGTCATTTCCCAAATGAAATATTTACAAAGGAATAAATTGCTTTTAAAATATTTTTCTGAATTTCATGATTCAATAGCTAAATAGAAGTTTTATCAGTTTTTCCACTAAATAAGTATAATTTAGATTAACATCTAAACAACAGTTTTTCTTAACCCAATTTTTATAGCAGCATCAATCAATCAAAATTCTACAATGTTTTGATACTTAATATATTCTTTATTGTGAATTTCTTAATTCTAAATACATTTCGAAAAACAATAAATGTATTTTTCCTCATCATTACAATTTGGTTTAATACAAATAATGCAAATTAAAAATTTTTAATGCAATTTGTATACAGTAAATAAAAACCTATTCCATATACGGAACAGCAGCTTATACAAATATTTATAGTCTAACATTCTTACATTCATGGATCTTACAACATTTTTGTATACAATTAAAATTTTTTTTATAATTATAATTTACGTACATATTTAAAACCACAATAACTTACAACTGTTATTTCTTCCTTATTTTTTAAAAAGATCCCCTTTTCAGTAAAACATTGATATTATATGTGGATCAATTGATAAGTTTTTCCATTTTTATAAAATTAGTTTTGGAAGAGGTAGAATAATGTGATTAGTTTTAGAAAGTATTAAAAATCATTTATTTTAATTATACATATTTATTTTTAACATAATCAACATTTAGAATGGTACTTTTTTCTAATTGTTCAATTCATTTTTGCATTCTAAAAAAAACTTTCTGGTTTTTTCTTTTGATCTATTCCTTCCATCCTATATCCATTCCTGTACTTCCAGTTACTCTGGTATTTGGTAAAGGGAAAAACAATTCAGTGAAGTATTGTGAAACATTATGAGCAACTCAAAAAATAGTTTTTTCTGGTCTTTCTTTGAAAATATGTCTTTTTCTTGCAACATAAAAACATAGAAAGCATTGTATTAAGGAAACAGCAAAGATGCTTAACAACTTGAAGTTACAAGTTATTTCACGTTTTCATACAGCCAGATCTAGCACTATCAGATAGTGCTAGTGATAGTGCAGAGTTGAAAGGTCAAAGCTTATCATCAGATTCTAAAGCTCAAGCTGCTATATGGAAGTGAATCATGGAAAAATCAAAATGTTTTTTCATGCACAGAGTACAAAAATGGATTGAGTGCTTGGGAAAATGTGTCACTCTTATGTTGAAAAATAAATATATATGATTACTGCACCTTTAACAGTTGAATTTTAGAAGAATGCTAATGCTTTTCACTTGGTTAACAGGTCATCCTCAGGCATTGAAAGTAACAGTGGAAAGTCATCAAATGTAAAAACTGGAATACTAACAACACTAGTATTCCAGTTTTTACATTTGATGCCTGAGGATAACTCATTAACCACATAAAAAATGTTAACATTCTTCTAAAATTTCACTGTTAAAGATGAAGATAATTAAATTAGCCCAGTAAGTTATCACAGTGGCTAGTAAATGTCTTCATTATGTATGATTAAAATAAATGATTTTTACTACTTTTTAAAACTGGTCACTTTATTCTATCTTTTCTAAAATACAGGCAGTTTTATAAAAATGGAGACTTTATTTATCATTCAATCTTCATAATTTTGTTAAATGTGTATTTATTCCACTTGATATCAATGCAATATTCATCTGTTTTATTAAATCTGGTAGTTTTTTTATTATAAAATTTTTAATCCATAACTAGTGCTTGAGCTAATTGAAGTTAAATATGAATAAAGTTGAATTGTGTGAGGTTTGCCGATTGGGGAGAAAGTGTCGTGACAGTCGAGCGGTCAGCACTGTCGTGTGGGAGTGAAAAAACTTACTGAGACAGGTCCTCCATCGCAAACTATTTATTAAATATAAAAATTTCGCTTACAACTACTGTTTTACTTCGGCGTAAGGCCTATTCACAGAGCGAATCAGTTCATAAATAAAGTTCAATCTTTTCTACGATCTTCTCTCCTTTTGGCGAAGATGATGAGGAAAACATAGGCTCCAGGGCACACAGCACAAATTGAAGGGGTGATTCTCATAGCAGATTACCCTTGGCGAAACTTGCTGGGACGGGATGGCGAAAACTTCTTTTTGAACGACGACTAAGTTCCCGCAGGAAAAATCCAGAAGCGGAGCACACCGAACTTAGAACCAAGAACGTCACATCCTATTTTTGTGCGGTTTTTATAAGTTTTTTCTGGGTCCCAGATCGAACATTCCGATAGGTCGATGTCAACTTTTCCCCCTCCTCATTATGAATTGTAACAGGATTGGAGCCCAGATCGCGGGGTGAGTCAACTCCGATTGACAATTTGATTCCTATCGAAGACGTTCAATCTAAGTACTCAAATTCATCCATTGTTTTAACCTGAGTAGTTTGACTTTCTTAGTTTTTACAGATATGTCCTTATATGGACATAAAATATTCATTTTGCGTTTGACGGTTTCTTTTTACAATAAGATTAATAATTATAAAATTTTTCTCATACGAAATTAAAATATTTTTCGTGCACAAATTTCGACCCACTTCCGGAGCCTCACAATTGTTTTTCAACACAAGTAAAATGCTATTATAAATATATAATGTGGTAACAGCATTTTAAATAGACAGCTGCTCAAATGATAATGTAGTGATGAATGTTTTTGGCAAAAGGGTTTCATTTTCTGTTTTAACAATCTCCAGTTCTTGATTTCTTTCTCAGAGCTATATTAAAAATCTTTTTATTTATCAAAACATTAAATATGGAAAAATTTGAAAGATTAACATGTAAATAGCAATTTATTTTTTAAATTAAAATTAAATCATTATTTATTGAAAAATATTTGGTACAAAATAATTTATATTTGTGTATGTGCAAAATGACAAATGTTGGAAAACATATCAAATCCTCATAAGATGTACAAAAATCAAAGATATAGCACTGTTAAAGAATAAAGTCTTTTATATCTATTGCTTTTCTGAAAAATTTTTGTGACCATTGACATTATTTGTGGACACCTTATGTATAATTTTGATATGATTATTAAATTGTTATTTCATTTAAACAACACATTTTCTAAAAAGAAATGTTAAGGAATCCTGGCTTCACTGTTTCACACATATCTCAACTAAACCAAAACAACCTTTTCTCTTAGGTACTACCCCACATTCTATAGATGACTACCTTGAAATCAAGAAGAATTGTGAAACCAATGAATATGTTATAGGCACACCAGTGAAAATATCTAGTGTATTACTTCACAACAAAGCTTCGCTTGATAGCCTGTCTCCTCCTATGTCAGATCAAAAAGGTGAGCTTTTGCCTCCCCACTTATGCTTGTGTGCCTTGATAACTATTCATGTCATTGTAGTCTTATAAATTTTTTAAATTTGATTCCTTTAGTATGAATTTTAAAAATTGTATGTATATGTATACATTTGTAATATTAACATTTGTTATAAATATGGAAAGATAATTATAAAATCCTTTACTTCTTTTCCAGCAAGAGTTACTAATGTAGTGATGAATGTTTTTGGTCTAATTGATAGGGAAAAATCAAGTCTATAACTTAATACAGTATAAAATTCATTTATTAGATGTTTGGAATGCTTTTGCATTCCAAACATTCCAAAATGAATTCTACTGATTCAGAAATTTAAAAAGGATTATACAGATTAAAATTATAATGAAAATACAAGCAATAATGTATAATAAGTACATAAATACCAAATATAAAAACCAAATATACCAAGATAATATATCAAATTTTATTACGTTAAGATCTATAAATGCCAAAAGAATATAATTTACACTTGGTTCTATCTCCTTGCTTCCTCTGTGGATTATCATAAAAGGATTGCCATGCTATAACAACAATTCAGCTTTTTTGAAATTGATGCAGAATTTCTGTTTTGTTGCTTTAAACTTCTCTATAATTTCCAAAGCCATGATGTGGTCAGTGTTGAAAGGAAGGTTGTATTAATTCTGCTTCTTCTTCAAAACTAGCATTTTACGCTAGGTTCCATGGCATACATGGCTAAGGCAGTAATCAGTTTTTTTTTCAATGGTGTAATGATGCTCTTTTATTCCATTGGCTAGTGATCTGTTAGTAGAACCAACAAACACTTAACTATGCCTAAACCCTTCATCCAAAATAGGAATATAATATATGCCTGCACTCTTCATCTATCTAAACCAAATATTATCTAAATCATTACATTCCAGTTCCTCACTGTGGAGTTTTGTCAATTCATTAATAACTCTTACTGGACAAGAAGGAAAGGTTTTTCCAGTTTTGTTGTAACTTTTGATAATTATAAGTTAATTTTCTTCATGTAAACATTGAATATATTTTTCACATAAGAAATTTAACATGGTTATATGTTAAAGATAAAATAACTTATAGATTTTCAGAATAATGAAATAGTTAAATTCTATTTAAAAATNTTTCCAGTTTTGTTGTAACTTTTGATAATTATAAGTTAATTTTCTTCATGTAAACATTGAATATATTTTTCACATAAGAAATTTAACATGGTTATATGTTAAAGATAAAATAACTTATAGATTTTCAGAATAATGAAATAGTTAAATTCTATTTAAAAATACTATTTTTTCCTAAGGAGTTAATGGAGCAACCAATTTTTATTTTTTTGAAATCATCTTTTTTATTTTAGGAATTCTTATATAAATAGTTTGAATTTACTATTAAAGTTTTTCCCCTTCCCTCAAAATTTTTTGTTAAAAATGATCATTATTTAGTTGAATTTTTACTATTAATGATAAGATTAGCTCTTGTCGTGTTTTAAAATTTGTCATACTTTCATTTTTTATCATAATATATTTTCATTTTTTTGCCTCCCCACTTATGCTTGTGTGCCTTGATAACTATTCATGTCATTGTAGTCTTATAAATTTTTTAAATTTGATTCCTTTAGTATGAATTTTAAAAATTGTATGTATATGTATACATTTGTAATATTAACATTTGTTATAAATATGGAAAGATAATTATAAAATCCTTTACTTCTTTTCCAGCAAGAGTTACTAATGTAGTGATGAATGTTTTTGGTCTAATTGATAGGGAAAAATCAAGTCTATAACTTAATACAGTATAAAATTCATTTATTAGATGTTTGGAATGCTTTTGCATTCCAAACATTCCAAAATGAATTCTACTGATTCAGAAATTTAAAAAGGATTATACAGATTAAAATTATAATGAAAATACAAGCAATAATGTATAATAAGTACATAAATACCAAATATAAAAACCAAATATACCAAGATAATATATCAAATTTTATTACGTTAAGATCTATAAATGCCAAAAGAATATAATTTACACTTGGTTCTATCTCCTTGCTTCCTCTGTGGATTATCATAAAAGGATTGCCATGCTATAACAACAATTCAGCTTTTTTGAAATTGATGCAGAATTTCTGTTTTGTTGCTTTAAACTTCTCTATAATTTCCAAAGCCATGATGTGGTCAGTGTTGAAAGGAAGGTTGTATTAATTCTGCTTCTTCTTCAAAACTAGCATTTTACGCTAGGTTCCATGGCATACATGGCTAAGGCAGTAATCAGTTTTTTTTTCAATGGTGTAATGATGCTCTTTTATTCCATTGGCTAGTGATCTGTTAGTAGAACCAACAAACACTTAACTATGCCTAAACCCTTCATCCAAAATAGGAATATAATATATGCCTGCACTCTTCATCTATCTAAACCAAATATTATCTAAATCATTACATTCCAGTTCCTCACTGTGGAGTTTTGTCAATTCATTAATAACTCTTACTGGACAAGAAGGAAAGGTTTTTCCAGTTTTGTTGTAACTTTTGATAATTATAAGTTAATTTTCTTCATGTAAACATTGAATATATTTTTCACATAAGAAATTTAACATGGTTATATGTTAAAGATAAAATAACTTATAGATTTTCAGAATAATGAAATAGTTAAATTCTATTTAAAAATTTTTTCCTAAGGAGTTAATGGAGCAACCAATTTTTATTTTTTTGAAATCATCTTTTTTATTTTAGGAATTCTTATATAAATAGTTTGAATTTACTATTAAAGTTTTTCCCCTTCCCTCAAAATTTTTTGTTAAAAATGATCATTATTTAGTTGAATTTTTACTATTAATGATAAGATTAGCTCTTGTCGTGTTTTAAAATTTGTCATACTTTCATTTTTTATCATAATATATTTTCATTTTCAGTATAGCATATACATATATATATATATATATGTATGTATGTATGTATGTGTATAGGAATTCTTAGGTCA